TTATCGTAGTATATAATTTATTATAAAATAGTTTAAAATTATTAACAACATTTACAATTTTGATATATTTTAAACAAAATATTAAAATTCTAGGGCCCCCTTTTGGRCCTTCTAGGCCCCGGGCCCCGGTGCAATGCACACCTATGCAACCATGTAATTACGCCACTGCTTCGTAATCGCCTAGCTTATACGTGTAAAAGTTCCTCACTTCTCACAACGACTTACCCACCTAAACATTTTATTTTTGAAAGTTAATTTACGTATAAATGTGTGGTTTTGTGTGTTTAAGACGATGCAAGAATCAGAATTTCTATATGACGTTTAGTTTTTTAAATATTTAAAATCTTAAAARTKATATTTTTGTTAAACGGCGCTCCATGGYGATTTAAATACGAAATAAAAATTCMAAAATTTCTCTTTTAAGATTTTAAATATTTAAAAACTAAACGTCATATAAAAATTCTGATTCTTGCGTTCTCTTAAACACACAAAACCACACATTTATACGTAAATTAAATTTCAAAAATAAAATGTTTAGGTGGGTAAATCGTTGTGAGAATCGAGGAACTTGTACACGTTACACGTATAAGATAGGCGATTTCGAAGAGTATGCGTCTTTTATCAATTGCTCATAACTTATTGAATAATATGAGTAGATACGTAAAACTTATAACATTATCCTTATAATTGAACATTCTTTCTTCTTTCAAATAAAAAAACTTAATTGTTGTGTTGTGTGCTCCTTTAATATGTCTATGGTAGTATCACAGATTATATAATATGGTCTGGAGGTATAATATAATTAAAATGGACGTCCAAGATGAATCATAATTCATAATATTACTCACCGTTGGTATGACTGTATGAGTGTTATGGATATGCCCACTTTCTGCTTTGCGTTGCGGATAAGGTAAACACAAAAATCATTGATAAGTACGTCAGCAACAATGGGAGTTATGAACCTATTCGCGCACCATCTTTTTTTCTCCATGCATTGGGTGAATAAGCGACCAATGAAAAGTGGTGTTTTGGTCGGGCGTAGTTGTATTTGAGCTGTGGACATGCGTATCAGCAACTATAAGTTACATGGTCATATACCTCTTCTTCATGCGTTTTGCTAAAACATTTGGTTATTCTTTATTTCTTTATTTCTTTGTATTTTGTTATGACTAATGTTATATTATTATTATTGTTATTTAATATTTTGCTAATCTATGAAATTGTGAAATGACTGTATATTATTACAATTCACAATAAATAATAATATGGCATTCGTATTCGGTGATATCATCGTGTCGTATCTCGTATTGAGTCGTTCAATGTAGTGCAATCCGGTATTCGTCATAAATTGGGTGTTGTCTTCATTAGGTTTATGCGTAAACTCATTTGGAAGTTACTAATAGTTACAAATATTTATAACCATCTTTGATATTTTAATATTTAAACAGTGACATAGAACTAAATAATACAACATGACTGA